TGCAAGCAAACAACCAGGCTCAGAGAGCAGCAAGGACTGTTTATTTACAATTTCATGGCAGCAACCTCCTCACATTACGCACTAGCTATAGTTTCCAGAACTTTTGAAGGGCAAGACTGTATAGAGCACATTACATAGAATATTCTGAACTCATCAAAGATGTAGCTTTCTTGAGAAGTCCCTAATGCTAGGAAAATTGGAAGAATGACCAGCATGAAGGCAAACAGGCTTCGTTGCAGTGCAATGGGTGCACTATTGAAAGGCCTTTAATTTAGGCAATAATTAAAAGCTGATTACAGGTATTAAAGCTATGCCTTCTTCTCCAGAAAGGTGCCCAGTTGAAGATGCACAAATGCATTTCTAGTGTTACCACCTTTTCTCACTGCCAACATTTGTTAACGAAATACTGAGCATTCTGCTCAAATGCTTGGTGCTTCATTGGGTGTATAGCTATTCTAGATTTTGTATTCTTAACTTTGGAATGTCTTGTTTACTAATGGTCCCTTTGTCTTTATTAAATCCCAATGTGTTTACCACATCCAATATTTTACTGTATTTCTGAATGGGAACCTCCAGGCTATCTTTTTAGATGTAACGATTTTAATAGTTATTAAAGATCTGGATTACATTGATTGCATTTAGGCCAATTAAATACAAACATGAAAATCCTTTACAGGAAAAGACTGTCTTTATAAAATTGTTGAGGAGATACCTGAGTTAGGTAATCTGTTGGAATAAAATATATTTGCGATTCAGAAAATAACCCCTGAAAACCAGTGTCTCACAAAGCAAGGAATGCCACATCTCAGTAACCAAAATAAGCTTTGCATGCAGCTTCCTGGAACATTTAGGTACGTTAGGAAAAGGAATTCTATTTACAACCTAGATATCGAGTGCTCAATATCTTGATAATAAACCATGATGTACAAAATTGAACACACACATAGATATAAATAGCTAAAACCTAATACCCCTTCCTATTTTCCCCACAACAATCCTGTGAGGTCATGTTATATTAGTTCTCACTTTGTTCAAGTTAGCAAGTGCTCTATCCATTTGTATTAAGAGTATTAAAACAAGGTGGTGGGATAGCAATGCCAACTTC